CTACCATCCACAAACAAACGGTATGACTGAACTAATGAATAAAATTATTTGTAGTAGCCTAACGCACTACGTAAATGAAAATCAAAAACAATGGTCCTTATACTACAAAATGGTAGTTTTTGCATATAATACTTGTCCTAGCTCAAGACTAAAAGTCAGCCCATTTTATTTACTACATGGCATGGAAGCTAATCAACCATTGGACAACAAATTAATGTCTGGAGAAAATGAAACATTTAATCTTACAAAATCTCTAAAACAATTACAGATAATTAGAGAAACTATACCAGAAATAATAAAAAAGGAACAATCAATTCAGAAAAAGTTATACGATCAAAAACACAAAGACATTAACTTCAAACCAGGACAGAAGGTATTAATAAAATTCGATTTTCAGGAGCCAAACAAAACAAAAAAAATAGCTAACAAATATAGAGGTCCTTTTACGATTGTTGAAAAATTAACAGAGGTAAACTATAAAGTAGAATTAATTCTAAATAAGAAAAAGGTATTAGACGTTATACACGTACAGCGAATAAAACCTTTCCATGAAAATTTATAAATTTGAATAAAAATTATATATACATTCTTATAAGAATTAATTTACAATATTAAACCAATTACCAATCAATGATCTGTTCTAGATGTTATCCAAATATATTTTAACTCTCATATCAATCACCAACACATGTGCTGAGGAAGATATAGCTATAACTGTGTCACCCGGAGCTTTTTTCGAAGAAATCCAAGAAGCCATTTTATACGACAAAAGTATTCCTCTGGTATACACGCAAGAAATCCAAGATAACAATTCAAACAACATCAATTATAGCTGGGGGGTAGAAAAATATTGTACAAATAAAAACACCAATTATTGTAATATTATGAAAGAAACATTAGAAATCCTAACTACCATAAATAAAAATATAGAGGACAACGACAAAGATATATTAGAGATCATAAACCTCAACCTTAAAAATAATAGATCAAAGAGAGGCATACAATTATTCGGGAACCTGTACCATTTCTGTTGCAATATAGCTACTGAAAAACAATTGAAAAATATTTATACAAACGAAGAAGCGTTAAATCAACAAATTAATAAATTTAAAGATGTTTTCGTGTCAGATCATAGGGACTTAATTAATATTACAACAGAATTAAACAAATATACTAAAAATACAAATAATAATATACAATTATTAAAAGAAAACTTCATCAAATTCACAAATGAGGAAAAAACCAATAATTTAATAGAAAAAACAAATCACGAAAACACAATTCAAGGTATACAAGAAATAATATACGACCTCATGAAAATAATATTAAAATTCACAAATTATGAAAGAGATACTAGTACTCACTTACACTGTAAGTTACAAAAAATACCACCAAGAATAATAGAGTCCAAAACATTGTATAATGACCTCATAAAACTAGAAAACACAATAAAAAAAAGATGGGTACGAACTGACCATTCCGTGGGAAAATCTTTCAGCGTATTACAATTTACCTATAGCTGAGTGTCAATTTTCAAAAACAAAAATTCTAATAAAGGTAAAAATACCGATCCAAGAAAGATTTGCTAAATGGAAATTGTACCAATACATACCGATACACTTCAAATTTCATGAATCTGTCTGTCATATACATTCAGAAAAAACATATATCGCAAATAATTATATAAATGACGAACATAGGATTATTTCAGGAATTGGACTACAACATTGTGATCCACCCATTACTGATTTATGTTACATCCCAAAATTCTCGTCCGATATCACCCTCTCACCAAAATGTGTAGAAGCAATATTTAAGAACCTACCATTAGACGTAATTAATCAATACTGTTATTTTCAATGTGTTAAACAACAAGGTGAAGATTCTACAATAATTAAACAAATAGGAATACACACCTACGCACTAACAAACCCACAGCCAACTCTAAAAATAAAAATTGAAAAGTTAAATACAACAATTATAAGAGAACTTAACATAAACTATAGCTATCCAGGGTTAATTAAAATATCGTTCCCATGTAATTATGAATTATTAAAGGACGAAAAGATTTTAATCTCAAAAATGTACCCATGTGAATCTAATAATCTAAACAAATTCAAAATTAATAGAATATTACCAGTATCTTGGACAAAAATTAAGTCATTAAAAACCAATTATGAAGAAACCAAAGATAATAATATTATGTACTTTACCAATATGACAGAAATATTAAATACAGATTGGACCAAAGAAATACCAAACTTTCACGTCACTAAACAAATACCAAACATAGATAAATACTTAAATGATATCATCCTAAAAAAAAATAACAAACCATTTGTAGATGAATTCTTAGGAGACATCATATACTTAACATGGCTAATAATCCTCACAATCACAATAGGTTTCATTATTTACAAAATTTATCCTGTAATAATTAAAACCGAATTTATGACCTTGCCACCACCTATTCCTCCCAGAAATGAATAATAAAAAAAAAAATATATTCATAAAGTACTCAATACATATTATATACAATATACATAAATATGTATATCCATTTATTTAGATAAGCATAAAAAAAAAAAAAAAAAATGTGTAAATTATACTGTATATGAATAATTGTAAACTAAAAATTAAACTAAACATTATATATATAATATATATATATAAAAAATTTTTTTTTTTTTTTTTTTTTATTTTTTATATTATTTTTTTCTTTTTTTTTTTTTTTTTTTAACTATGTTTTTCCTTTCTGTCTATAAAAATTATTAGTTTTTAGAAATGTATAAAAAATAAATTATATTTAGCGCATATCTACATAAATATACCGAAATATTTTATCTAGTGTAACTTTTAACATACCTATATCATAATTAATTACATACGTATCTATTAATATTGTGAAATTATAGTTCAATAATACTTTTATTAAAACTGCATACCTACAAATTTTGTATATAATGCTACATTGTTTTTGTGTGTTCATTGTTTACATTATTGATGTTTAATGTTTATAATACCTACATCATGTTAAATATTAAATTTTAAATCTTAACAAAAATTGTTATTTTTATGCTTTTGTTGTTGCAGCATATTTCTAATTTTAATATGAAACTATCTGTTCAATCGATTGTTAAATTGTTGGTATGTAAGCAAATTGCTGTGATTACACATTTATAAGTATTATATTATATAACTTTTGAATAACACCTTTATTTTGCATCTTTAACAACATCTTATTATTTGTATACAAGAATATTGTAAAATTTCACTTCTATTCAAA